TTCTTGCCACGCTCATAGTGCACGGTGAAATCATATTTCTGTAACCTCATCATCATTAACTGGAGGCGTCAAGGTGCTCAAGCGAGTGGCTTCAGTACAATCATTTCCAGTGGCTTATGGTTATTTTCGAAGTGTACATGTTGACCAAATGTGTACTGGTTGAAATGCTCAAGAGCAAACACAATCGCCAGGATATCCTTCTCTATTTGAGTGTACCGGGTTTCTGTGTCGGTGAGGGAATGACTTGCGTACTCTATGGGCTTGCGGTTCTGAAGTATCGCTGCGCCAAGGCCACCCTGGTTCACATCACACTGTATGGTAAGGTCCCGTGAAGGGTTGTAGTAACATAGAACAGGCGCTTCTGTGACTAGCTGTTGCACATTTGCGAACGCCTGGTCTTGTTCTCAGGACCAGTTCCATGAAGAGTCCTCACGAGTCAGGCGGCGAATTGGTTCCATGACCTCAGACAGTTTTGGAAGGAACTTGGCTAGATAATTGACGAATCTGTTGAGGCGCTGAATGCCTTCAATGTCTTGTGGCTTAGGCATCTTCGTGATCACCTCTACTTTAGCAGGATCAGGCTATAGGCCCTTGTTCATCAGGAGATGTTCTATGAAATTTACTTCGCTCATCCTCAGCTTCATCTTGTCTGGGTTGAGGACAATGCCGCGGTTCTTGCACCTTTGAAGGAGATCTTGTAGACTTCTGTCATGGTTTGCGGTTGCTTTGCGTCGGTCTCTCCAGTGCCATAGATGAGGATGTCGTCCGTGATGCACAGAACACCCGGTAGGTTCTCCAGTGCATGAATTAGGTGCTTCTGGAATATCTCGGATGAGGTGGAGAGACCGAGGGGCAGAAGAATCCATTTATACCTTCCATAGGGGGTCGCGAGGGTCATGAGTATGCTGGATTCAGTGGCGAGGACACAGTGCCAGTATCCCGACTTGAGGTCAACTGTAGAGAATACTCTTGTTTTTGACAGCTCCGGGAGTATGTCCTCAAGCAGAGGAAGCTGATACCTTTCTCTCTTCAGGGCGGTGTTAAGTGGCCTGGGATCGATACAGATTCTCAGCGCTCCAGATTTCTTCACAGCCACAGTAAGACTGCTAACCCATGGAGTGGGCACATTGATTGGAGTTATGACCTCCAACTGCTGTAGTCGATCCAATTCTTCCTTCAGCTTCTTTTTGAGTGACATTGGGACACAGCGAGGCGGTGCGACAACGGGAGTGGCGTCCTGTTCGACTTCAAGGTGAACTGTTCCTGGAAGTGCTCTTAGCTCTCTTTGAAACACCTCTGGGTAGCTGGCTACTATTTCATCAGCTGTCTGCATACTCCTAACCTCTGTCCTTTGTCTATCAGGCAGTTCTGCGATCTTGAAGTTTTGTGTGTTGACAGTAATTAGGTCCATCTGTTGAGCTGCCTTTGCTCCTATGAGTGGTGTCAGTTGTCTGTCAACAACGAGGAATTCCACTGAGAACTTCTNTAGACTCCTGTCATGGTTTGCGGTTGCTTCTTCGTCGGTCTCTCCAGTGCCATAGATGAGGATGTCGTCCACGATGCACAGAACACCAGGTAGGTTTTCCAGTGCATGAATCAGGTGCTTCTGGAATATCTCGGATGAGGCGGAGAGACCGAAGGGCAGACGAATCCATTTATACCTCCCATAGGGGGTCGCGAAGGTCGTGAGTACGCTGGAATCAGGGGCGAGGACACAGTGCCAGTATCCCGACTTGAGGTCAACTGTCGAGAATACTCTTGCTTTTGACAGCTCCGGGAGCATGTCCTCAAGCACAGGAAGCTGATACCTTTCTCTCTTCAGGGCGTGTTAACTGGCCTGGGATCGATACAGATTCTCAGCGCTCCAGATTTCTTCACAGCCACAGCAAGAATGCTAACCCATGGAGTGGGCTCATTGATTGGAGCTCTGACCTCCAACTGCTGTAGTCGATCCAATTCTTCCTTCAGGCTCTTTCTGAGTGACGTTGGGACACGACGAGGCGGTGTGACGACGGGAGTGGCGCCCTGTTCGACTTCAAGGTGAACTGTTCCTGGTAGTGCTCCTAGCTCTCTTTGAAACACCTCTGGGTAGCCGGCTACTATTTCATCATCTGTCTGCACACTCCTAACCCCTGTCCTCGGTCGTTCAGGCGGTTCTGCGATCTTGAAGTTTTGTGTGTTGACAGTAATTAGGTCCATCTGTTGAGCTGCCTTTGCTCCTATGAGTGGTGTCAGTTGTCTGTCAACGACAAGGAATTCCACCGAGAACTTCTTCTTGTTCTTTGGATTGTGGAGAATTAATCGACAGGAACCCAGTGGCTTTAGTGTTGTGTCGTTCCACATTAATAGCGTCTTTGTGGTCACTGAGGCGTCGCTGTCTACTTGAAATTTCACTTCTGTCTTGTCTACAAACATTTTAGTGTAGATTGCTTTTGGGTAATCATGCTCTTGCGTGACGGCGTGTATCATTCCCGGTTGTGCAACAATGCTTGTAATGTACTCCACATCGCTGTCATCGGAGGATTCATCCCTCAGGTTGTGCACTTTTCTAGTCGGAGTTGTGCAGGTTGTTGCGAAGTGATTTCCGCCACCGCACTTTGTACATTTCGCTCCCCACGCTGGACACTTGCCCTTTTCGAAAGGATGTGCTTAACCACAGAATTTACATGTCTTCGGTTTCTCCGCGCGGCTCTTCTTGGACTTGTCATCACGGCGGCTTGAAGGCGGGTGTTTATCTTGCATGGCGTGAACATCTTCGTGCTGGGCGCCAGACATCGTTTTTAATTGCAAATTCGTTGCTTCAGAACTCTTGCAAAGATTGATACACTTCGACAGAGTGAGACTCCGTTCTTGTAGAAGCCGTTTGCGAGTGCGGTGATCTTGAATGCCCAGGACGATCCTGTCACGAATTATCGAATTACGTATACTGTCACAAAAATTACATGTTTTCGCGAGTGTGCGGAAGGCAGTGACATAAGCATCAATGCTTTCGTTTTCCTGTTGGTTTCTGGAGTTGAAAGCGTACCTTTCAAAGGTTTCGTTCAGTTCTCCGATGGTGAATTCGTCGAACTTTTGTATTATCTTTGCCAGATCATTTTTATCGTCTGGACTGTCGAATTGGAAGCCGTTAAAAATCTTTAGCGCATCAACACCGATACAATGGAGAAACAAGGCGACCTTGTACGCCGATGGTTTCATCTCGAGTTGAGCAATGACCATGTAGTTGCTCTACATTTGTTTCCATACTTTCCAGTTGTCCGCCACGTTCCCAGCCGTAACTAATTTTCCAGGGGGCAATATCCCGGCCATCGCGCTTAAAGACGGGTGTTGCACAAGTCCCTGTTGTGCTTGTGGCTGTTGCGAAAAACCAGGTGGTGGTGCTTCAGTCGCCGTTTCGGTGTCAGACATGGCTACAGGATTATTTCAGCTGTAGTTTGCGACTCTGTTAGTGGTAGGCGAAGGATTCTTCTTCCTATTTCGCTGCCACCACGTTTCAAGTTCCGTTTAATCAAACATTCAATAGCGTACAGCGTAGTAAGACACGAGGATGAAACTCGATTCTAGTCTAGTTGAACATTGATAGTAATCACGTGCATATTGTAACAGCGACAATGTCATAACACCTTATTATCCAATATCTGTCAAGTGGTTGCTTACAGGAGGTTAACAACAAAAGAAAATTTCAAACTTTTAGCTCTAAAAGTTGTCGCGGTCGTTTACAAGAGATGGTCGCTTACAACAGGTTCCAAATATAGGGATATGACTTGGAAACTTTTGTTATTTTGGAAAACTAGTCGAGGAGAGGTGGTCGCTTACGAGAGGTGGACGCAACTGGGGGAGGTTCGACTGTATTCAACATCGTTCGTCTCATACCACTTGCGCAAAAATTACGCAAATTTCAGTCGGACTGTTCAACAATGGCACGACTATCTTGGTTTCACCGACCAGAAAATTTTCAAAATGACCAGAATGTATTTGTGAAAGGTAGTCCGAAATTTTCAACAGGAATATGCACACAGAAAATGTGCTTATTTGCTCGTACTTACCGAGTTCCAGGCGTTCTACCAGTTTTGACCTTTATACGTGAAATGTTATTCACAGATAGAAAAAGGGCCGCTTTGATGGCCGTGCGTGCGCGTGTGAGGTAGAGACCATTCCCTGTGAAGTCTCACGTCTGCCTGACTCATCGAAATGGCCACAAAAAGGCCCAAATGTTTGTGGCACGGCCGTAGCTTAACGGGAAAAAGAGGCTCAGTAGAAAGAACAACTCATTCTAAGCTTGCAAATATATTTCCAGACACGGATACGAGAGTTGAAAGACGACGGACAATGTCGTTTTTTTGACATAATGGAGGAGTTCACGCTCTAAGGGGCATTGTGGGTAATCTGGACAAATTAACAAAGAAGCAAAGCCGTATAAAAACAAATGTTTATCTTTATATTTCCGTTCTGATTTCACATTTGGAGACAAAACATAAGCTGTAGACGGAGAGACCCCTTTTCTAGGTTTACCAGCGTTTTTGAGCCGATCGAGTGATTGTTGTGGGCGTAAGAATTTTTTTACGGTTAAAACCGAATGATTCGATCAAGTAACATCTCCATTACCCTGATAAGTGGGCTAATGCCCAGCTAAATCGACTCAAAAACGCTAGTAGATATAGAAAAGGGAGTTTTCTATCTACAGTAAACACTGCGCGAAAAGCCAAATATTCGGGCCCGAATTCGCTCGATTACGGATCGGCGCACGCCGCGTATGCCGCAATGTTTTGACGTATTCGATTACGGCTGACTCGAAATACACCTGGAATATTCTATAGGAATCCGGCCTGTTTTTCCGTATTCAAATTTAATACTCGTGAATGACTCGAAGTGTTCGATAAATCATACGGGCCAYGTTTTGGTAGATTAATGTTGCATTAGATGTTCTTCGAAGATATAGCGATCATTTATGACTCGAACATTTTCGAATACTCTCAGTTGTTCGAGAGTTTGCGACTAAAACACGAGATGCACGACGCCACTTCTGACGTGAACATCTTCGAAAAAATGAATACGTCAAGTCTCTTCTCGAAAATGAAACTCAGAACGGAAACACGAAGAAAAACGTACACTTTGTCGCTTTGTTTCTTTGCAATCTTGCCCTGATTACCCATAATGCCGCCTAGAGCGTGAACTCCTCTATTCAAGGAGTTTCGAAATGTGGTAAAACACGGTCTCGTCTGTTTGATGCATCTTCTCAAACGAAACTAAAGCAGGGCCTGAATTCGTAAATCTCTCAAATCTATGCTAAGTAAGATCAGATATCCAAACGCCGCCGCGGTCAAGGTTTTCGTAGCCGTAAACTATGAATTTTTAATGACTTTGAAATAAAGTTTCACTTGACTTGCACCCAAGACTTTGATGACTTCTTTTGCTTCAATTAAGTTGTTACAGACCTGAAAATCAGAAGTACTAGTGTAGCTAGTGATGTTGTGTTTTCGGACCGTTACATGTTAAAGGAAACACGAAATGATGTTCGTATATGTTCTCTTCAATGTTGTTCTCGTAACAGTTTCAAGTATCCGGCCAAAGCAATACCGATTTGTTATGATACATCTTGTCCCTGAACACTAAATGTTCAACTGGTTTAGACAGGTTTAACAACATAACGTTTTTCGTTTTGTTTCACCATACACCGAGACCTTGTATCAAACTCATTACTCAATCTATCTAGTCCTCTTACTGAATTTCACTCAATAACTGCTGTTTCTTTTCCACCTTCCAGTTTCCCTTTTAGGAATTGTACAGCCCTTTCCAGAGAACATTTATCCTATTGAGTTCACCTCAGCACAAGTGACCTGTATTGCTTTTGATGCGGCAGGAGTCAAGGTCCCAGAGAAGATCTTATTTATGAGAAAAGACCAATTTGCTAACTATGTAGAACTAAAACCAAATGGCAACTTGCATTTCGTCAACCGAAGCACATTAGAAGGTAATGATATATACCTATATCATGTGGAGGTTCATTTGCATGTTAGCCTAGCTTTCACTGAAGGTTTCCAGGTTGGAAATTATGACTAAAAGCACAAAGAATAACAAATAATTATAACATATACATGAACTGAAAAATGAGCAGCTCACATCATGCTCACAAATTTGTGGTAGATTTATTTAAAGTTATTAGTAGTGACACTCAAAGCATTTTGCATACATATCAGGTCTCGTGAAGGGCATGCAAGATATGCTCTTACAGCAAATGTTGAATTCAAAATAGTATGTCACACGTATAGTAGAACACACTTGTTTGATTAAAAAAAAATAGAAATACAGCTGTAAGTAAATTATGCTCAGGAATGCACAGCTTGGAAATTTTGATATGGATTCAATTTTTTCCACTATATCCAAGAGATAGATCCGGACGTCATATTGTACATTATTAAGGCAACAATTTTCTACAAAGACCCATAGTGAATGCACATGAACAGTAGTCAAAAATTTCATTTTTTGCAGATGGTAAAAAGAAGCTCTTTGTAACCATGTTCATAAAAAATGCTACTTTGGAGGACGACAGCCTGTTTGGTGCCCTGGGAAGATATGAGTGTCATGCTTTCGCGGTGGGTGATGCTGTCAAGAGTGGGAGGCATGGCTTTAGCGTTAGCGTCATCAAAAGTAAGACATGCAAGGTTTTTTTACTGTACTTTCTATGATTTCTTGACAATGAGAGAAACACAACTACGTGGGAAATGTTTCTTCTTTTTAATCAATATTAACGAGAGAGGAATTTAATTATTCGGTGAATTTATTCTTGGGCATAAGTTTATTCGTTGCTATATATTGCTCAGAATATGAGCGTCAAACGTGTCAAATTCACATTTATAAACAAGACACTGTTGGTTCACAATGGTTTGCTTGCTTCACTCATGTTATAACCAAATTCAATATGTTGATGGCTAATCTGTACCTGTATACATACACATACACTAGAGCAGTGCATTTCTTGTATTACATGTTTGGATGCACTTGGGATGGCGGGGAGCATTTTTGAAGCTAACGTACATGTATGCAGAGTTGCACTACGTTGCACCTTGAACAACTTCTCCAACATGGGCCTCTAGACAGTTTTTTAAAAAGACGGATGCATTGTCAGCATTGGATAATTTTTAAGTGGTATTCAAGTTAGTGAAGACGAGATTGGTTTGCTTGCGTTTCGTAGGAAGTGAAATTCCCAAAGTTGTTGTTCCTGATGTGATTGACTTAGAGCAGAATGATGATGTCACACTGACTTGCAATTTGACTGAAAGAGGAAGCCCATCTTCCACCCCACTGAAGAGGATCTCATGGGTGAAAGATGGTGTGGTGCTGGACAGTGTGCGGAATCCCAACCCGGGAGACCCTAGAGACATGCTTAGTCCACTGAAAATCAAATATGCCAGTATCAGAGATGGAGGGAACTACACCTGTCTGCTACAAGTGTTGTTACGAAACATCATAGAGTACAATGTGACCGCTAGTACCGTTATTCGTGGTAAAAAAAAATCGTATTCTGCTGATGTTACTTGTTCTTCTTCGAATGGTACAAGTGCATTTTCTAGTTTTACGACGACAATATTTTCTCGGAGAAAGGACTCAATATAAAGCAGCCATTTTCGAACAGTTAACCTTATCTTGTGAAGTGGATTTCATAGCTTAAACATGTAGAAATTATGAGTAATTCGTATCCGCAATATTCCCAGGATACCTTAGGTCCATGACTAAAAATGAAAAGCGTTGACTTCAGAGAGGGAGGCAGTTACACTTGTTACTTGCTAAAAGCACTCCAAAGAAGCATAATCATAGGAAGGGCGCATTTCACTTCATTTGGCATATTAGATACTTCGCTTTCAATGAATCGAAGACTTGGATGACTTCTTTTGTTTCAAGTGTAGCTAGTGATGTTGTGTTTTCGGACCGTTGCATGTTAAAACGAAACGCGAAGTGATGTAAACAATATGTTCTCTTCAATGTTGTTCCCACAACAGTTCCTGCTACAAACTGAGAGAATTCGGCCAATGCCTATTTATAAAGACACATATTGTCCCTGAACACAAAATATTCAACCGGTTTAGACAGCCGGTCTGACAATATTACGTTTCACAGCACGTTTCGCCATACACTAGGACCTTGTGCGAAACTCATTTCTCGATCTATCTAGTACTGAATCAATAAATGCTGTTTCTTTTCCATCTTTCAGTTTCCGTTTTTGGAATTGTGGAGCCTTTTCCAGAGAACATTTATCCTATTGAGTTCACCTCAGCGCAAGTAACCTGTGTTGCTTTTGATGCAGCAGGAGTCAAGGTCCCCGATAAGATCGTATTTATGCGAAGAGATAAATTCAATAGGTTTGTGGAACTAAAACCAAATGGCAACTTGCATTTCGAGAACGGAAGCACATTTGAAGGTAGGGGTTCATTTGCATGTTAGCCTAGCTTTCACTGAAAGTTCCCAAGTACAAATGATAAATAATAATAACATATACATACATATACAAAACTTTACGTGATAATTGTCTACAGCACAAAACTATTGACAATAACAATTCTAATAAAGTCGTTAAAAAAGGAAGCAAAATGTAATTTTAAAATAATAATAATAATAATAATAATAATAATAACAATTTTATTGGGGCCAGTATTTGCGGTGTGTGTCATCGATTGTACGCGAGAAGTAATAAAAAAAAAACAAAAGAAAATTACTCTCAAACTCTACAATACATGCACATTCCACTATTTATGGAATCTTACCCGTCCTCGTGTGAATACTACTAATAGTAAAAATACAGTATATAGAAGAACAGAAAAGAATAACTTTATTTAACGAGGGTAAAAACACTTTACAGTTAGCACTGACAAACTAGTGGCCCTCATATATAATAATAATAATAACAATAACAATAACAATAACAATAACAATAACAATAACAATAACAGTTACAGTTACAATAACGGTAACAGTAACAGTAATAATAATAATAATAATAATAATAATAATAATAATAATAATAATATACATGTGTGATAAAATAAGCAGCTCCCCTCATAAAAACAAATTCTGCTCATAAGGATTTCCCTGAGGAAGAGTGATTTAATGTCGCTAGTACTGGTATTTCAAGCGTTGTGAATTTGAATCAGGTCTCCTGACAGACATGTTACGTTCTTAGAGTATATTATGAGCTTAAAATAACCTTGAAGCATGGCACATGTACAGTAAAATATACTTGTTTAATAGAATAACTAGAAATATAGGTGTAAGTAAGTTATGCACAGGAATGTCCAGATTGGAAATTTTGATATGATTACAGCTTTTTCCACCATCTCAAAGAGATAGATTCCTGGAATGCTGGAAGTCATGTTATACATTATTTAGGCAACAATTCATTGTGAAAATTAGGATAATGTGGGTACTTCAAGAGTACACCAAAAATTCATTTACATTTGATGCTTCTTTTGCAGATAGTAAAAAGAAACTCTTTGTAACCATGTTCATAAGAAATGTAACATTGGATGACGACAGCCTGTTTGGTGTTCTGGGAAGATACGAGTGTCATGCTTTTGCGGTGGGTAATGATGTCCAGAGTGAGAGGCATGGCTTTAGCGTTAGCGTCATCACAAGTACGATATGCACACTTTTTATTGTACTTAAAGCCAGCATTAAAGCGTTAAGCCAGAAAATAATTAATCCATTAAGCCTTTAAGCATTAAAGCATTAAGCCAGAAGCATTAAAGCCAGCATTAAAGCCAGAAATAAAAAACACGTACCGTGTTTCTATCGAGTTATAGAAACACGAGCGGAAGTTTGGGAGAACGTGAAATGCTGTGGGAACACGAGCCGACAGGCTTTTTCGAGTTCTCCCAAACTTTCACGAGTGATTTCTATCGCTTGATAGGTAACGAGGGAGCAGCCCGAGTCAGCTAGCACGAATAGAAATCGAGAACAAATAGTTTAATTGTTTTAGTATAAATCTATTAGTCGTTCAAAACTCTAACCTAAATCCTCTTCAAAGACACTTCGAAAACGCAAAGAAGCGGCTCCCAGCACACATTGCTAGACAACTCACCATCTACAACAGAATAGATGGTGAGTTGCGTAGCCAATCAGAGAACGGCATTCATGATAGAACGCTAGTAGATTTATACTAACATACAATTAGATTCTGAGCTCGAGATTTCTATTGAAACAATAGAGTGTTTCTGTCGGAGAACCATCGGCTGATAGTTGCCCCGCGGAAATTTAATGTTCTTAAAACAAATATTTTAAAATAAAAATACTTGTGGGCAGCACGCAGCAAAAACTACTGATTTTGTACAACTGAGTTTATTAATCGACCGGCTTCGTCTGCTAGTGAGACTTCGTCAGGATTAAACTACAAGATACAAAGATGGAACTTATTTTATACTAAATATTGTTAGAACAAAGTACGCTCCTACTGTAGGGTGTGAACAACATACGTGCAGGATATGACTAAAATCCTGCGCTAGAAAATGTGCCATGTAATGTGAGCGGGGCTCACGGATTTAACGTTAAATCCGTGAGCCCCGCTTACACTACACTGCACATTTTCTACCGCAGGATTTTAGTCATATCCTGCACGTATTTCTTGTGGGTGTTTTGTTGTTCACTCCCTACAGTAGGAGCGTACTTTAGTTAAATCAATTTAAACGCTTTCTCTATCATAACTTTTAAACACACGGCATTCATGGAAATCAGGTTTATATGTAGAATATTGTTGTAAGTTAATATAATATCAGGATTCGAAGTTTAGGTTTAGGATCTTAGACATTTTATTGGAATTTATTGTCCTGATAAATTTTTTACCGTGTATAAATAATGATTTAAGATTAGAAATCTGTCACAGAATAGATAGTGAGTAACGTAGCCAATCAGAGAACGGCATTCGTGATAGAACGCTAGTAGATTTATACTAAAACTCGATAGAAACACAGAACTAGCACTGACGAGCTGTTGACGTATTAAATGATGGCGCGAGCAATGATAATTTACATTTTGATGATCAAAGTAAACAAGTTGTTTTCCTTGAAAGAAATAGAAAACTTTTTTTTTTTTTAACCTTTCTTGGAATCATTTCTTCAATAAAACTTCTTCAAAGATATATACCCCATAACATCAGAACCTCTATTAAACATGAAAGTTTCTTGTCAAAATNAATAGACCAGTGTTTTTTAAAGAATGGTTCCTCAAAGGAATAACAAAAGTAGAACATTTAATGGATGACTCCGGAAAGTTTCTCTCGCTGACTGCTTTCCAAACTATACATGACCTGACAGCCCGACCTTTAACCTTTCTTGGAATCATTTCTTCAATAAAACTTCTTCAAAGATATATACCCCATAACATCAGAACCTCTATTAAACATGAAAGTTTCTTGTCAAAATTTTTAAAAAGCAAAAAAACCTAGTAGACTAGTATATAAGAAACTTGTATCAGGAAAAAGTGAACCACCCAACCAAAGTCAACAAAAGTGGCAGGAAGACGTCACTCTCACAACGAAACAAGAGCTGAACTGGAAAGAGGTTTACAAAATGGCTTTTCAATGTACAAAGAGCACAAAACTTATAACTTTAAATTTTAAATTTCTTTATAGAAGAATATCAACAAACAACTTCTTGAAAAAAATTGGTCTTGTCGATAGCGAGAAATACACTTTCTGCAAAAGAGAAACAGAGAAACTTGCATATTTATTTTGGGCTTGCCCAAAAACTCAATATTTTTGGACCAATTTTAAAGTATGGTTACAGTCTTGCCAAGTCATTGCCAAAGAGACATCCTTAGAACCTGATAGAGCACTGGGTCTGAGGCCGGATAGCGCTAAACATAAACTCCAAATTAACTTCTGCTGCTTAAATGCTAAATATTACATTTGGCTATGTAGACAGAAAAAATGTTCTCCAAAACTAAATGATTTCTTACTGTATTTAAAAAATATCTATGAAATGGAAAAAAAAAATACAACTACAATCGTTTTAAAAAATTGGGAGCCTCTGTTGCCTCTTTTGTAATCACTTGACAGCTTGACCCTAGTCCTCTGAAAACGAAAATAAAAATGAAAGGAAAAGAAACCAGCGCATATATATCATACATATTTTCTGTAATTCGCAATTCGGAATTTACATTACTGACAGGAGTAAACTGGTATGATCTTGCTGTGCTAGAATTGTAATTAAGTAGCGCAAGTGATCTAATTATGTTGTATTGTAAGCAGTGTAAGTATTAGTATTGTTAGTAGCGTGAGTATGCGTATTACATAGAGTAAGTGTTAGTATCGTAAGTGGCGTAAGTAATAAGTTTTTTGTAAGTAGTGTAAGTAACTACATTAATATTGTATTGTAAGCAGTGTAAGTAGTAATTAATTAAAATAAAATAAAAAATGAATAAATAAATAAATAAATAAAAAAAGATCACTTGGATCATGGTGCATCAAAGGAACCGACGAATCCACTCTGGTCACGGATTCATCGGTTCCTCTGATGAACTATGGGTGCGTTCCTTTGGGCTGATCTGGATCCGGATCAGTGATCCAAGATCACTCGGATCATGGAGCATCAAAGGAACTGACGAATCCATTCTGGTCACCGATTCATCGGTTCCTTTGATGCACCATGATCTGCCGTGATCTTGGATCACTGATCCTGATCCAGATTATCCCAAAGGAACACACCCTATGATCCGAGTGATCTTAGATCACTGCTCCTGATCCAGATCATCCCAAAGGAACGCACCCAAAGTTTCTGGATGTGTCGTTAGATTGGTTGCTTGTTTGTTTATTCTGACCAGGTGAACAAGAGTCAATGATTGGTCAGTCTTAATTGCAACCACTCGTACGTGAAAAACAAAAGTGTCAAGTTACCATTTGAAACTAACAAATAAAAATATCTTGTTACATTTATCTGCAGCAAAAACAAACTTCAAAACTCAGCAGTGTTCCCATTCATAAGTAGCCGTCCGTAATTTATTTGGTTTTGACAGAGAAAACCACTTCAAATGAGTATTATTTCAAGGAATGTTTCAACAAGAAGAGTCAGAAGACAGTATTACTCCGTTAACAGCGTTACTAAGTTCCATGTATAAGCCGCACCTTTTTCCTCAAAATTTAAGTCAAAAATCGGGGGTGCGGCTTATCTACGGAAACATCTGTGGTTGGAGTTCTTAAAAGCCTAATTAATATTCATAAAAACGTCCTACGATGTCACTGAATAAAGATACACACAAACTGAAAGCATGTTGATGTTGTTCATTGACTTTTATACGAGTGGTGGCTCCTAAAGGAGCCGTTTGTACAGTGTTCGTGTCTTCAAACATTCACCGGCGTATCTTGTTCTCCAACAGTTCTTTCAAGCGACAGCGGCAGACAGTTTTCTGTAGACGAAAGTTGTGTCCGCCGCTGGAAACTACAACGCGAACGTCTCCTAAAAACTCCATGGAACAAACGAGCGCAACGTTATCGCCCTGCAGCGTTTCCCGACATCGAAAAGGAACTTGCAGCGTGGATAACCGAGAAACGCCAAGGTGGTATCGGTGTATCGACTAATGTCATCTGCCTCAAAGCAAAGTCAGTCGCGCAGAAATTTGGTATTGCCGAAGAATCATTTAAAGCTTCTAAACGCTGGTGTTATGGTTTTATGGAACGCTATGGGTTTTCCATACGACGAAGAACAACAATTGCCCAAAAACTTCCCCAGGATTACGAAGAGAAACTGATCAAGTTCCAGCGCTATGTCATTGCACAAAGGAAAAAACATGACTTTGAACTTAAGTACATCGGAAACGCAGACCAAACTCCACAAACCTTCGACATTGCGACCAGTTCCACAGTATCAGAGAAGGGAGTAAAGAGCGTGTCAATTTTAACCACGGGCCACGAAAAGGACAGGTTCACTGTCATGCTTGCTTGTCTCGGAGACGGAACGAAGCTCCCACCGTACGTTGTATTTAAACGAAAGACACTACCAAAGAAGGTGAACTTCCCAAAAGGGGTTATCGTCAGGTGCCAAGGGAAAGGCTGGATGGACGAAGGACTGGTGCAGGACTGGCTGAGGGCCCTCTGGAGTAAGATTGGAGGTCTGACCAGGGAGAAATCCATGCTGGTGTGGGATTCGTTTAGGGCACATTTGTCGAAACCCATACGTAACACGCTGAAGTCCCTGAATGCAGAGCCCGTTGTTATTCCTGGAGGAATGACAAGCATGTTGCAGCCCCTAGATGTTGCGATCAACAAACCGTTTAAAGATCGAATGAGGAAGAAGTGGCAGGATTGGATGCTGGCTGATCAGCACACGTTCACCCCCAGCGGCCGCATTGGAAAAGTGGAACTGGATCAGATCTGCCAGTGGATTGTTGAGGCCTGGGAGGACATCCCTATCCAGCTGATCAAGAAGTCCTTTCGTAAGTGCTGCATTACGAATGCCTTGGATGGCACAGAGGATGATGAAATGTGGGATGAAGACGACGACGACTCTGATCCATTCGCCGGTATCAATGATGATGACGATGACGCAGACTTGCACTACGCCGACAGTTGCGAGAGAGAGCAAGCAGACATTGATCCAGAAGGCTATCAGAATCTCTTTGGAGATAGTGATAGTGAGGACTTTCATGGATTTTAAGCTTTAAGACGACGAACATTCTTATAAACTTTGACAAACACTTTCCGATCGCTTGTAAATATAGTTGTAGCAGGAGCCATAATCGGGGACGGAGACCGTAAGTCTTGGGATCCGCGCGCACCTATGATATGGGACAATTTTTCTATTTTTAGAACAAATTGCGCC